CACCCCTTCCTCCCTCTCACAGCTAGACGTAGCAGTAATCTGGAGAAGGAACTTCGCTAGCTCCTACTGATGAAGTCAGCCTAACAGATTTTGAATTTTTTCCTGCACGTTTCTCGGCGTCTCAAACGAACAGCGTTTGCAAGCCAGTTGCCTCCCGACTTTCGACCTAACTAGACGGGCAACTCATTTATTCCGTGCCCTTAACCCATATGCGGGCCGGAATATCTTATTTTAACAATGTCAACCTCACACTGTACCAAGATTTCTTCTCATCTTGAAGCTGCCCGCAAGTCAGACCTTCTCCGTTTTCGACCAGAAGACATTCGAGACACACGACACAGTCGTGAGCAAAACTTCGTATTCAACAAGTGGCTTATTTTTATCCCTCGTCAGTCAATCTTAAATACAGACAGGGGTATCTTACTGACGAACAAACTTGCTACCCGCAGGTCAGACCTTCTCCGTTTTCTGCTAGAAAATGTGCGAGACACACGACACAGTCGTGGGCAAAATTTCGTATTCAACAAGTGACTTATTTTATCCCTCGTAAGTCAACCTTAAATCCAGACAGGGATATCTTACTGACGAACAGATATTGTTCGTCCCTTCTGGACTCGCCATAAGTAACTTCACATAGACGATGCAACCAACTGCAAATAACTCTTTGTCCTTTTGGCTAGACCTTCACAGCAATCCGTTAAAATTTTCAACAGTTAATTCAAGACCTGACCAAACTCTGAGACCCTACTTTGAACCTGAACATAAAAAAAAGATAAAAAAAAAAAACACAAAATCACATACACTCTCAACACCAAAAAAATCCACAGTGAGTACTCCTTTCTATCTGTGCGCACCTACACCTCTGTTAACGAGTACCTTTTTCCAGAACCTTATAAAACTCTTTTTCCCGCCTTGTTCACCTTGCTATCCTATTTTGGCGCGGAACCTTTTCTCTGATCTCGTACCACGAGATAATCTACTTGTTTTTCCATTTAATAAAAAATTACACATGTTTTACATCCAGATGCCTTTGTCATTTTATTCCGGCTATCTCTTTGATGTTTATAATTTATGCACTCGTTGATTGACCCCTTTCCTCTCACTGTTCATTCACGCATTTTTTTTATATACATTGTTTGTGGACTCGGTAGTTTAGTGTGGTGTCTGGCACAAGGCCACTTCGTAATAAACCAGCACTGCACGCTGCCGGGTCCGCAACAAACTAATTCCTGGACAGGGCCTAATTATGTTGTTTATTCACTCCTTCAATTATTTAAACTCTTTTGTTTAACTGCCCAACTTAAAACAGTTTGAATGTTTAAATAGTGTATTTTCACTAATTTTCATCGTTGTAACAGTGAAAGGGGAACTAGTAAAAAATTAATAATGAAAATTCATCTCAGAATTCAAATAACTTCAGATTATTTCTGCTCATATGATTACACATTAGTAAGCAAATAACATGGTATAAAGAAATAGAGGTGTATCAATATAACAAAGAAAAGAGTGATGAACTATTATGTAATATATAATCTCTAGTGAATATTTGACAGTCTCTTCAGAGATGAAGATGACAATTGAAGTAACAGAGATACGATTCTACTGAGAAATTTGGGAAACTGTTTTAAGGAGAATAGAAATTATAAAACTATGGTAACAATAAA